AGGCAGAAACTCACTGTTTTTGGCAAATTCCTTTTCACCTTGTAGATGACCGGACAGTGAATCCGTCGTGATGCTGTGACCAGTATTGATAAGGTGTTCAATTATTGCATTTCTCATGGGTCCACTAGCTTCTCTTTGCAGCCAGGTAAGGGTAATGTTCTCTAACCCGTTTAGAAAGAATGCTCATCGAACAACCTACATATCTGCCTCTACAGGAACAGGTGAACTGATAAACATATATGGAAGTGTTCAGATGCTGAAGTTCATCTTTCGGGTTGTGAGGAGACACTGAACAGTTGGAGAATACAATCCTCAAGGTTGATCGGAAGAAATTATTCCTTAGTGAGTCCGAAACTCTTCTTTCCAAGATATCAGAAACAAAATCACACTTGAAATCAAGATTCATGAGTAGTATCTTCTTGTTAACTGAGATGGGTGTCTCGCTTTGCGGTTTTGGTTTTATGTTTTTGTTCAAAAATAGCGCTGGATATCGGTTTTCAGCCAGAACCATTTTGAGAAACATGAGTTCTTCGTCAAAGCTATCAGTGCTGCAGTTTCATCGAATACGGTGGGTAAGGGATACAGGAAGTACTCTTTTTTAACTTATAGGTATCCAAATATAGAAACTCATCAGGTGACCATTCCACAAAGGTTTCCTATGGATAAACCTTCTCAGTATCACACAATCTCAACCTATAAGTTCTACTTCCCTTCCTACTTCAAGTGTGAATTTAACTGAGGAGTCGCAACTTTTAAATACTTATAAGACACAATCTAAATCATAGTTATCATGACAAATCATGAAGGTGTCCTCAACAAAACTGTTTTGAAACAAAAACCCATCAGTTATTGGCTTTAGACTGCTGTTCTCCAAACTGATCTGCCAGTAGCTGACCAAGAGGAGAACCCATAGCGATTACATGTTTGGTGGTAGATGACACCACTGAAGGAAAATTGAAGGCACATACAAGCCGCAGTCATTTTAGGTATGAAGTAGATATTCTAGTATCCAGGCTGCTTTCATCTATATATGTACATACTAAATATGTCGTCTCTGTGGGTTACATGTAAGTGAAGAGAGATTCTACATCGAGTGATAACGTAAGTTTTCCAGTTACGCCTAAGTCTCTTACACAGTTGATGAGTTTGACATTGTCGTAGAGAAAGTCACTGGATAGCTGTCTCCTTACAGACTCTCCTATTGGTGTTATAGGAAGACTTCTCTGCCTTCTTATTCACTGAAATAACTATTGAAGTAGACCAATCTGAAGCTACTGCCTCTGCTTCCGATACACTAACTAGTACCTCCGTTACTGTAATCAATAATCAATCTCCTAACCCCATCCTTAAATACTTTGAGTGGTAGGTCCTACTGCTTTGCATCGCATCAGGTTTGAAGCAAACTCCTAAACTTTGAGGACAATAGGAGGACCTACATCTACGTCCTATTTAGGTTCGGCCTGGATCCTGACCAACTGAAGCGTTTGGGTGGGCCGGTTGAACTGTTTTAAAGCGTTCCGCTCCAAGTTCTGGACACCTATCCCAAGAAGTTACCACTGATTCATCCCAAGTGGTGGCGGTCTCACCAAACATCATCCCATCCTCACCAATATCCTAATTAAGCTCGATAATTACTGCATATTACTTAATGTTGATGCCTTCTTCATCTCTCTCGCTTTCGCCATTCACCGTCGATCGTTTTCATTGAGAAAACTCTTAGTCGATTTACGTTTACGCCGCCTTCGCTCCTCATTGTGGTCAGATAAAACCAGAATGTCTTCTCATGTCAGTCAGTTAGGATGAGGTTTTGGAAATCCACTGACGTTTGCTAATCTTTGGATGTAGGTTACCAACTGTCTCTCTCTCAAAACGAAACTCCAAGAGATTACAACCGTTGTCTTCTCCATATAAAAGGCTCGAACTTAAAATTAGCACACTCCATTCCACCTTGTGGTTCAACAGAGCTGGTGGTACGGGTTTACTAGTTGGATTAAAAGCAACGAATGCCACACCTGAAACTTCGAAATATGTTGTGTGACCAGCCTCAAGTAGATATCCCTTGGGTTCTATTGTCATACACCACAACTGCGAAACCAATATCTCCTTCAAATACCTCAAGGAGTAACCTTCCACGCTGTGGGCAACCGAGAAGCGTCAACTCCACCCATGACCCTGACACCACTCAAGTTTCCTCAGATCACTGTCCACCTTCCACACCCTCTACTTTTCTTGAATTCTCCTAGTCAACATTACTACTTCATCTTTAATTTGTTCCAGCTCTTCAACTCTTCACAACGAACTGAATTCACGGAACAAAATCAGTGGTCTCTTGATATCACACTTAACACTGCACATTCGAGATCGCAACGTCCGTCAAATCGGCCAACAAGCGTCCCTAGTCAAAACTTTAGCATTTCTTGCTACGGGTGTGAGCTGTGTTTTTGAGACACTTATACATGACCCAAGTGCGACTGTTCATTCAACTTCACCTACTCAGTATGGTGAATCCGTGGAACTCACCCTTCGAGTTTCCAACGACTCTTCAGTTGATTCTTGCAGTTTTGCAGGTGTAGAAATAGCATTAAATCCCTTATCAGAAAGTGCACTGGTCGACTGGATTCCAGTTGTCACATGTATACTGTTCAGCTGAATGGTGCAGTAAAGAATAAAAAAGAGAGTGAAACTCTCTTTCTAATCTTTGCTTACATACAGACTGACTTCAGTTCAAAAGAAGTGAAAGATGAGTTCTACCAAAAGCTGTCTAGCCTCCTACCGAAAATCAAACGCTTAGACGTAGTCGACGTTCTAGGTGATTTCAATGTACAAGTGGGTAGACTAAATCAGGTAGAAAGACATTAAGGCGGCACTTTTGGGATCCCTGGCGGATGAACGCATAATGGTGGTAGCCTGCTCCAAATGTGTTCAGACAACCATCCATTTCTGATCAATACTTTCTTTAGACATAAAGAGAGACATTGTCATCCATCGACCTTAACTCTATGCTGGGTAAAGTTAGGCCATATCAGTCTACTGTAAAAACAGCGGTAAAGGGTGCAACCGACTCTAAGATGTTAAAAAGGGTATGTGGGTTTCAGTAGCGTCTTCGGAAGTAATAGATATACGTCAACACATCCCTGCAGGCTCCAAGCACATTGACAAGTAGAAGTAACTCATATGAAGACTGACAAAAAGTCTGTGCTATGACTGCGAACAGTGGTGGGTAGCGGCGACAGGTAACACTAGACAGTTATTTCAACCTACTTAGGAAAATGGGATGAAAAGGTTGATGACTAATGAGACTATATCGGAGAAGAATGGGTCTGAGATTCACTCGCAGGAAAGACGACTGAAACGATAGGCAGAAAACTTCGAGTAATAGTTCAAATGACCTCCACCTGCCGTTCCGTTGCCTGCTTATCTATTTACATCTTGAATGGAACGTCGAGATAAAGCCACCAAAACTAACACAAGTCGACAAACGTATATGTAACCTGCAACGAGGAAGAGCACCAGGACCAGACAGACAAATACCAGAGGTATTAAAGGATAATTGACATTGTTGACTGAAGTGGTCACTTGCACGAGGGAAATTGATGTGATTTTCTCTGACTGGTCTCAGTCATTGATTGTCCCAGTCTTCAAGAAGTGCAAGAAGTCTTCTTGTGATTACGAAAGGAGGAGTAGCCTGTTGAATGTAGTGCCTAGGCCTCCAGGTTCCATAATCATTGAACGAATAAGCGAAACTCGATAACAACATACCTGAGAAAACCATACATGTTTCACGCTTAGACATGAGTCCAACCACAAGATCTCCACACTCCGGTGGGTTCTGAAACACAGGCAACCTTATCATCATTAACCACTTGCGGTACTTCTTCACCGGAAGGTAGCATCCCATTCCACCGATCAAGAGGTTTCATGGCAGTATCTGAAAGGGGTGCACCACTCTTTTGAAGGCTCTGTACTCGAACACAGATAGTCGTATCAGAGTGTATGGTGAATTGCATACGTCAAGTAGAGTCCGTCAAGAATATTCACTCTCTTCCTTCTTATTAAACTTTATCACAGACGTACTTATAGTGGTCTTCTTCTTGCCGTCTGATTGGTCTTATCACAGGAGAATCCTTGGTAAGTCTAGAGTACGCAGACGACATAGTCTTGTCAGGTGAAAATGCTGACGAGATACAACGTCTTCTAGACACTGAGTGGCAATTAGAGAATGTTTGGGATATGTTTCTCACCGCTCCAGGACAGGTCTTCAGTGATGCCCTGTTTAATGATAGAAAGTGAGACGGTTGAGCTCGCTGACAATTTCCCTTATCTCGGAAGTAGAGTCGACGCTGGTGGGTCAGTGGCCGAAAACATCTGTACACGGATACAAAAGGTTTGATTGGCTTTCTCCAACTGTCACGCCGCCATCATATCCGATCGTTTATTAAGGCTCGAGTGTGGTGGGCTGCAGTTTGATCTGTTCTGCTCTGAAACATGGCTACTAGAAAAAGAGGCTCCAGGTGTTCGTAAACTGTTACTTTCAAAGCATAGGCCGTATTTCGCGGCGTCACCACGTCAGCAATGCAGAAGTAACATGTGGAGTTCGACAGAGCACAGGAAAGTCACTTAACGAGGTTGAGAATCTTGATCGACTGAGGTGGTGAAGACATGTCTTCCGCATGCCCAGTCACCGCCTATCTTATCACAAAATTATATCTGAGGTAGATTCAAACTGAAAAAGGGTTAGAGATGACGTGGCTAAAACATGACATCAGTCCAGGAAGTCTTTGACTGCTGGTCTAAGCCATGTAGGCTTCGCTGCTCGGTTCCCTGCAACAACCGAAATCAGTAGTTGGAGGCCGTAGGTGATATGGCTCAGAATCGACAGCAACTGCGCCAATGTATCCACAGACTTAACTATCATTACCAAATCCGATTATTGTTTCGTATCTTCTTGTTCTCTTTTCACGACTTTCTACCACTTTCCATCATCCTTTTCTTTATTTTTTGTCATAAGTAACTTGGTTGTGACTAGTAGTGAAATCAAGGACGCACGTTTCGCCTTCTTTGGGACTCCTTATTTATCTGTCCTTCACCGTGACGCATTCTCGCTAGATGTGCTTAAATGAGGTGTACAACTTGTAGCGTTACTCAGTAATATCAGGTTCCATATTGATACTAACTGACTGACTTTTGAAGAAGTTATCAGGGTGAATAAAAAAACACACGATATAAAATCAAGTCACACGTAACCTCAATCACAATCAAATTATTATTATGAAAGTTACAGTGACTGATATAACCGTCAGATGCGTGAACAACAACCACCCATTGCTGGTCACTCACTTCCTCGATAAATAGAAAAGGCGATGAGATAACAGGTGTATTGCAACGTCAAAATCCAAGGGTTTATATATACTAACAATGACTTTGGCCATTTCCAGACCTTTCTAGATTTGAATATTCTATGGATTTTTGTCTCTTCAACCAATCTGATATTTACATGTTGGTTCATATACTTTTTCTCAAAACTTCGGAACAGAAGAATTGGTTGCAAAAGGTTTCAGGAGTTTACGGCTTTTTATAAAGATTTCGGCAATCAAATTCCACAATATAACAGAGAGAATGAAAATAATCAAAATACTTCTGTATTTTTAGTCAACAAACTGTTTGTAATAAAATAAGACTCTAATATCAGTTATAGTATTTTTGTAATTTGTCTATAATTCAAATTTCACAAGCCATACCAGAACTTAATTAATTTGAACTTTGATCTCTTTAAGAAGCGTTTATTATATTCGGTTTTAATATAGTCCACTGATTATTTTGGTGTGGTAGGTATGAACATGAATCAGATCGAATGAGATGAACTTTGTTACTCAAAGATGAAAATGTTATGTGACACAATTGTAGTCTAACATAATCTTAACAAAATCGATTTGAAATGAAATCACATAATACTCATTCACCTATCTCGCATCTTCAACCTTCAATCTCTTATATTTTTCAATCAATTTCAGGTTTATTTTATTTATCGAGGACTATACTAAACTTCTCGGTCAGAGGATAACACAAGAGGTTGGTACACTTGGTAAATAGGATGCTTATGATAACCTCATTTCCTAAAAATTATGATCGTTTGAAGAATAAGGAGATAATCATTCTTCGATAAAAAACAAATAGTGTTAACGTATTTTTGAGATGAACGGGGATTTAAATTTAGAGTAAGTACTCATCATACCGTGAAACCTGAAGGTCCTGAGTTCGATTTTTAGCCGGATCGTGGGTGCGTCCAGCTGAGAAGTCCCATACTAGGACGAAACAGCCGTCCAGTGCCCCCAAGTCTTCAATGACTTCTCCAACTGATATCAGTCCGTGATGAATACTACCTCCAAATAGTATTAACATTTTAAATACGCGTTTATACAGCTCCCTTGGAGTATGTGTGGAACACATACGAGAGAATGGCCGACTTGTTGTTGACGTTAGCACTGAGTGATCAGGTTCAAGTCACCGAAGAAACTACTAATATCCTCATGGTTGCATATTCATCCTGCTGATGAGGATCAATAAAAATGAAACTTAGATCCATTTTAGTCTGTTTGTCAGAATTGTCACATACCGGAACAGTATTATTAACTGGATAGCGTTTTCGACATAATTTATTGTATATATTCATATCAGACAACTCCATAACTTTGAGACAGTTTATTTAGTTCTCATCCTATCTCCTTCTTCATGATAAGGTCAAGATTGAACGAAAACAAGATGAAAGTTTACAGAATAGTGTTTATAGCAAACATAATTTGAATCGCTACTTAGACTTCGAATCACCTCACTCTGTCTAAGTAATAGGACAAGTAATAGGACCTGTAAAAGAAATGATTCTCCACCTTTCCCAGATGTATGAAAAATACTACTACCCTTATCCCAAAAGAAGAAAAGAGGATGAGAACTAAATAAGTCATGTTTCAAAGCTGTGTAGTTACCTGATATGAATATGGACAATAAATTTTAGTTCAGAACGTTATTCAGTGAATAATACTATTTCACCACGTGGCAATTCTAATAAACAAGCTAAAATGGAATTACAATCTACTACAGTATCCAAATTTTACTCCTATATTAATGAAGTCTATATCCATGCCTTCTTATCAATTACCTTACTTGTGTTAATATTAATCGGAATAACAGTTCCATTGACGATTGTCAGCAAGACATACACCATCATCGATATTCATAAATATATGCACCGAATCAACCATTTTATCCCAGAATTCAATGAGCGATTCGTCTTCATTTGATATATTTATGCACTGATTTGACACTAAGGACCAACAATTCATCGAACAATTTATTTTCAGCCCAATATTCATATTATTTGCTTGGTGGTGGTTGGCAGTAGAATAGAGAATGAGTGCTTCGACTTAGTTGAGACTCGTCAGCTGGACGTACCGGAACCCATCGCTCCAAAAACGCCATTCACTAGACTCGTGAGTTACGACAACCATCCCTCGTGCAACTGGTATCACTTGTTATTTACGAATGCCAATAGTTTCCCACTGATCAATTTAATGGACCGAATTGGTGAGACACTTAAGAAATATGAGCTACTTGAACGGTTGTCTTAATACCGCCTCAATTTTCATTCTGATGTCATTCGCTTATTATTGGCCAGCAGTCGAATCGAGGATACACCTTTCGACCTTTCTGCGATTCGCTTGCTTGATGTACTGGCACCCCAATGAGTGAAGGTTTTCCCACTGAGACTCCAACTTAGCACTTGTCGCTTCGATTGCCACAGCACCATCCACTAGGTTACTCAGTTACGTCCTGAATCCTACTGTTAACTATAAAAAGGAAATAACATCAAAATGAAACTATAGACACCCATTCAACGAGCCCATATATCAAAAGTGTCCGATCAACTTGGTTCAGTCTAATGACCAACAGAAAACTAAAAGCGTTAATAAATAAGAATACTCACGACTTTAAATTCCCATTTACCAATACGTAACTAATAATCTATCCATTCACATCAGTAAAGAAAAACTTCAGGTCTCATCATCTGACACTATTATGAATGACCAACCACATTTTAAGACAATAAGGTGACAATACTGAACATGAAAATAAAAACTGAATACAGTCACTCTTCAAATCATCAATACTAGTCGTTCAATGGCGAACATCTACACAACGAACAAACTGTCACTGCTAGCTGCTTCAATGTGAATGTATCAAGTCACCTGTCCCAATGGAGCTAGGTACAGGTACAGATTGTTCTACGTCCACGCTAGCACCTTCCAATATGGCTCAGTTAAAGTCATTGAAGATTTATCAATAGGTTCACAAATAGTGAGCACACTATGAAAGAACAACGAAGGCTGTTATCACTGTTGAATAACGGGCAACACAACTTACAATATACCAGTTTGATAGCTTTTCAAGTCTCCATATCTACAGAAGCAGCAGATATGAAGGAATTTGGTAGATACTCACTACCCCCTTTACGCTGTAGCATTTGGAGAACAGTGTCATATTGTCCTCCTACAAATCTATCAAAACATTCCTTCGAACTTACATCGTTTAGGCATCACACTTTATGTCACACCAGCAGGTGGTGAGACTGAACTATTTCACTAAAGTGTAGCTAGATATTTGGTAGACTGCGAATAATTCCTAAGCAAGTGTAATAGAAAATAAATATTTACGATGCTACAAATATCCACAGAAATTAATACCTTATTACTTAAATACGATTATGTCTCTTCCCGTTGACATCGAATCTTGCAACTGCAAGATTCTGTGCAGATGGAAATTATCAGTGTGAAGCCCTACCCGACATATGTTACGTGCCTACTAGTAGTCCACGCTCATGGGGAAAATGATTTCCACCTCATAGATCTGATCCTATGCTGACCAGTGCTGCAGTTGCAGATGCTACCACCAAACCAGTAGCTGTGACTCACTGATTTAGGTGCGCAATTTTCAACAAATGGATTGCAGGTTCGAATCATCCTAGACTTATTGAGGCTTAAGCAGACAGACAGTGTCACTAACTCTTGTGCAACAAATGTGGTTAACTGCATGGTAAAAAAAACCTGCATTTGGTTGTTGGATTACAGTAAATATATTTAAAAAAGTAAATACACGTATTGCAAGAGGACTTTTAATATCTGACTGTCCAATTTTCTGTAAGTTTAACAGGTCTCAAAGTCGTGACTAGCTGGTGGAATATCAAATGTCTAATGCGATGATAGCTAATTCCATAAGAGGAGAAGTGACTAATAATCATAATAGAGGTTATGAAAGTGTCCTGTGGGAAAATGGGGATTAGCCAAGTAAAAAACAAACGACAATAAGAGTTCCAAGGGTTAAGAGAAAGATAATGTGATCAGTTCTGATCCATAAAGTCTCTTCTCTGATCATCAATTTTAGCCACTGCACAGATTTTATTCAACCAGAAAGCTGCTAGTTCGAGTACAAAATTGAGATCAACACAGTAAGCAACTTCACTGTTTCTTAGCATATCTTAGTGTGACTACCAATCTTAGCACTGACCTGTCAACCAACCTAAGACTTACTTCCATGAATACAATCCCAAGTTATTCGGACTATCCTTCAACAACAAAGATTAGTACTGAATTATAAATAATATCGAGACAAACAATCGCTTATCTACCTGAGTATACTATCAGTAACAAGAATACTCATGACATCAGACAACCTATCGGAGAAAATAAATGAATACCTAATGGCTTGATGATAACGTGCTGACCGCGGAACCTGAAGGTCTTGGGTTCGATCCGTGGAGGGGTCATGACTTTCCACTGCAAAGCAGTCACATACTATGGTGAAACAGCTATTCAGAAATACCTAGTGATATGCCCATACAATTAAGAACAATAGAACAAGAAACACTAAACAAAATAGTGTCATAAGAACAGAGCAAATGAATAAGTCAGTTGAAAAAGAATAAAATATGTCCTGAAATTTCTGAAATATTTGGTAAAGGCGTTGAAGTTTTTTATTTGTCACCTAGATAATCTCTTGAAGTAATAATTAACAAATAGAATGTGTGCGACAGTAGAAAGAAACAAGTAGTAAACACACTTTATGTTATAATGATGAGAATGGTAATAGGGATAACAAAATACATAAGGCACAAAAGGAAAGACTGAATTGCGCTTAATCATCTGACACACACACTTTTCCGCTCCCGCCTCCTTATAATTTTCTTTTTTGCTACCTTCTCTTTGTGTTATTCACTTCCTACACCTTGATTTACACATTTAAGTCTAGTTGTTGTTTTAAAAGGGATCATCATCTATGATTGAATAGCCTTTTTATGAATATTCTTTTTGAAATTCCCCGAAGAACTACTGGAAATCGACCCATCCATATCCAAATTATAGTTTGAACCCAATGCAGCGACAGTTACAGGAGTCTACAGAGAGAAACGAAAAAGAAAACGATAAACACAGAATAGGTACTCTGAATATATCAACATGATAACTTCGATTCGAAAGTATTCGGAAGTACAACAAAAAAATAATACTTTAAGTGGGTGAAGATTTAAGATGAAATGAAAACTTGGACTGCGGTGGGACTCAAACCAGCGACCATTGGGTTTCCTGCCCAGGGCTCTACTAACTGAGCTATGAGGCCACTGGTTCGAATCCTGCTGCGGTTCAAGTTCTCATTCCACTCTCAATCATCACCCAGTATCAATACAAGTCTGCCAAACCACAAGTATCTCAGATAGCCAAAATAACTTTAAGTGGAGTCATTGATAACCATTTAGAAATTGTAGTCAATATTTTAGCTCAGGGTATGGATGTTTAAAGCGAGTTGTTAGCTGTACTTGAGTTTCAGTGGACAATCATTTTCACGTTTTGCTAGACATCGTCATCCATGTATACAGCTTCACGAGAAAGCTGAAGATGTAGTTGTAGTTAAGTAGTTTAGGCATTTGTTTGCCTGTCAACAACAGATACAAAAGTTCAAACCCTACTTCACTCAGTAAAGTAGAACTATTAGTCGTCACATAACACATTTAGTGTATGAACATGCTCGAAGTTTCTGAATCATCTTATTACCGTGTTATCTAGGTTGTATATTCCTTCATTTTAAAAATGTTCATCCTGCTTCACAAACCACCTTCCCCCATCATCATTCAGTTTATGAGTCCGTATAAGAAGAAACCGTAGAAGTAGACAAGAATGTTTGTTTTAAACTTGACTAATCCGTAACTGAAAATGGGAGAACAGCATATCAAATAGTTATCATGACTTGAAAGCTGACAGATAAGCACTTTCTTCGCTCCGATAACCGTATCAGCTGTTGCAAGTGTCTGTATTCACAGACACAACAACCGGCTACAGATTTGTGCACTGAACAGTCTTATTTGCTACGTGAGGGTGTATGACACTAAATGACTGGCTGGAATGAAGTACGTGGGATGAACTTGAACTCTTGGCTTGTTACAACTTATTGTTTATTATTAAGATACATACCTGGTACAACATGCGCACCATATGATGCCCCAGTAATTGCATGATCTGTCGGAACTCGATCAAACAGTGACGAGGCTGCCTGCAAATATAGCTAACCTAACACAACCACCACTCATCCCACGACTTTATGCTAAACAATGATCACCTCTTTGCTTCTCTTAACCAGTCCCAAGACAGGCGAACAATGTGAGGTATGGGAGCGGCTGAGGTGACATGAGTATCATATACCCAAGTCAACAGACCCGGCGTTTCAAGATGAGCACATTTAGTGAATGATCATCTCCATTCTGCCGAAACGCACCCCACCTTACCTCAGAATTGCTTACATGGTGTTTCCTTCAGATGCGAGAAATCCTACGAAGACAAGCGTAATTTAAATTGTACACTCACCGGACATCCTCAACTCTTAGAAGTCAGGTTTCAGAGGTGTATAGCAGAGCCGCGAGTACCGATGCCTTGCATAACTGACCTTTTACAGCACGGTTAACATCAAGAAGGTGGCAAATGTGGCCCAAATCGGTGTATGCTACTCTGGTTTTCGATATAAGGTCAGCAGCCTCATTAGTCGCACCTTCAACAGGACCGACGTTACTGTCCGGGTACACAAACCTTTCAACAACTTCCAATAATTCATCATCAAGAAGGAGTGCAGGTGCATGCTACTGCCAACCTTATGTCCACACTCCCGCTTAACAGATGTGCCGTGTATAAAAATGACTAGTCAGTGTAAGCGATAACACCCAGAAGGTGATGCCAAATGTATGATAAATCCTTCAAATGCAACATATCTAAGTGAACAGAATATTTTGATGTCACATTCCCTGTAAAGGTTTGATGAGGACGCTTCCACTGTCTTTCTAAACAACATCAGCAATAATTTCGATTTTCTTTCCTTTACCTTACTTTACTTTACAGACGTTTTGTCACATTTATACGGTAGACAGAGACAGAAAAATCAAAGTGGAACCTCGCACACAAGTCCATCCACCTCGAGTTACCATACTTCATAGTAGCACACAAACAACAAATGGATGAAAAAAGAGTGACATGAAAGTAAACAAAGTCGTGTGACAGGATGAATAATCTGAAGATAAGGGTTGGCGCAAATATTCAAGCTTTACAAAACATCGAGGAGAGAACACATCTGCGCCACTGAGACCGATTTTCAGATATATCACTAAGAGTTCTCAATCACTGGTTCCTATCGTATCGGGGATCCTAACTTGGCAGTCCACATCTCCCAACAAGGCTCAGAACAACAGTCAGGGACATTATCGACTGGCCAGCACGAAAAATCTTCCAACCTAGTCCAGCTTCTACTAGTATGTCACATCGAGGTAGGCGGTGACCCTGCATGCGCAACACATATCCATGCCACCTCAGACGATGAACGCCAGTGAGCCACTAAATGATTCAGCATTAAGATGATTAAGTTATATGAACAATATAGGTGTCGAATAGCATGACAACGGGATCATCATGTTAGACGTAGTTTCATCAATCAACTTTGCAATAGCACACAGTTTTCATGTCCCTGAACAAAATGCTGAGAATTCTGTACTGTAAACATAATTATGGTTCGGAACAAACCGGACACATCACTATTATTATTATTATTATTACATAACCCCTATGAAGTAACCCCGTACAAAACCTTATTTATAAACCCAAAAGACCACATCATCATGAAATGCACGTGAACGAACACACACATACAAGACAAAAAATAAAAACGAAAAAAGATGCTCACCTTTCTTGAAAGCCATACATGACGGATTCCAAACCAAATCTAAATATTTTCAAACAAATAAAAACGAACCATGAGATAGAGGTAATAAAATTTAAATCGATTACGCCATCTTGAAGTAAAAGTATTCCGAGTCAGATGAATTGATATTCTAGTTGTCGTACAAATCTCGATAAAACTGAATACCTTGAATAATAAACGATAACTATGTGCAAGGAAGCGACTCATCATCAACCACTAAGTTATAAATTACTCCCATTCTGTAAAACCTAATGATGCCAAGTGAATTTCCAAGATTAGAATCCGGACTCATGAGAAACAGGCTGAAATCAAAGTGTTGCCCAGCTCAGTTGGTACAGCATCGGGCCAGAAACCCGATGGTTGCTGGTTCGAATCCCGCAACGGTTCAAATTTTCATTTTATCTTCAATCATCACCCAGTATAAATCACAGTATATTTGAAACAGGAATGGAAATTTTACGAACATTATGTTACATAAAACTACCGTGAAAATGAGTTAGTTTGGCTCCAGTATTTGTAATCAATATTCTTAGCAAAGACAACAATGCCAAAAATCTTTTTATAACCTTTTATTATACATAATAAATAAGTTAAGAAAAGTAGGCAGGTCAAAGCCCGCTGGGCAAAACTGAACGTTCTACACAAAACTCTAAAGACGATTGAAGATGCGTACAGTTGAAAAGCACATCGACGTTTAAAAAACATCTTAACGCAGAAAAAAGAATAAATCAAAGTATACACATTGACTACCTGCACACTGATTGGGTACGCAATCAGCCACACCTATTCTGTGATAGCTAATGGCGCTGCCTAGATCCCAGTGAGTTCAGCAGGGTTCGAACTCATGATGCCCTATTCCAAAGTCGAGTGACTAGACCGGTGACGTCACTTTCTTAAAATGACCACTCCGATTTTAAGAAACCATATTCATACATACGAATTTCACAAAATTACTAAGTAAAGATACGTACAGATGGAAAATAACCTTAACGATTAACTAGAACGGGAAGATCCTAGTCAGTTAAGGAAGACAAGCAGTGCTTCCAAAATAATTACCAAATATCTGAGATCTCCAACTCATCACTCTTATAGACCAAAATAACTGTGACTCATATCAGACTGCTTGCAAATCAACCGCTTGCACAGTACACAATAAAAGTAAGAACAAAAACGATATGTAACGAGTGAACTGGCTTGATATAATCATAAAGCTCTTCATCAGCACATTTGAAGTGACAATGAAGTATATCTTACCTACTACAAAAAGATTCTACGTACCTATTACTCACGGAACCTCACCTGCTTAACAAGTTCACTAGTTAATAGTCGGTCCTAAACACGGATAAAGAAGAAAGGTTGAGCATACGACTACCAACCCTACAAAGGAAAACATATCCAATACCCCACCCCCCACCCCCACCCCTAAAACAAAAACCTTCAAAGCACAAAGTAAATATAAAAAATAAAAAACAAACTTATTCCTCACTGCAATTGGAGAGACTAAATGACTCCAGTTGGTGAAACCCTTCGGGAAACCAATTACCCAATATATCTTCTCTCCTCTCGATCAAAGCAAAAGTAAACATGCGCACATGAAATGTCCACACCATGCATGAACCTACCAAGGCTGCACAGATTGCAAAAGAGATGAAAACGTATGGCATACAATTACTAGGCTAGCAATCTGCGAGGAACCTGCAGATGGAATGGAAGTGGACTCTCCTAACTCTCAACTGGACAGAAGTCAATCATCTACTCCGATATTGTCACTCATCATACAACAACCACAAGCACACCACACTCAGTTGGCCACTGGCTTTCATAATGTCCCCAACACCATCGAAGACTCTCTCTCTCTCTCTCTCTCATGAAGTGGGAACCCATCTCCTCCTCCAACATCAGGATCATGACACCAAGATTCAACTCAAAAGGAAGGTAGGTCACAATCATACACTACGCACCTACAAATAATGCAGATCAACAGAAGAAGAAGAAGAAGGAATTCTACAGACAACCCAATCACTACTGGACAAAACCACACACCAGTTGGCGACATCAAAATTCATTCTAATGGGTCACATGAATGCCAAACTGGCAGCGGACAACACAGAAAGATAACTCATCATGGATCGAGAAGTACTCGGTCAAATGATATGTGAGAATGAAGAACTCTTTGCAGACTTCTTTCTGCACATCCAACGATTTCGTGATTCCAGGCACTCTGTACAAACACAAACATATTCACAAAGCAACAACATGGATTTGATTAAACCAGACACCAGAACACACTAAAAACCAGATCGAATTCATATCAATCTCAAGCAAGTGGAGACGCAGCCTAATCAACACAACATCACACCACTCATTATCTAGTCCAAGGAACCTACCTACCTTCAAAATCAAGTTGAAACTCTTCACAGAACTTGGTGATAGGTCACAGTTCAAGTTCAACACACAGAACAAAAACTGCACTGAAGAACGAAACTACAAGGGACATCTTCACGTCAGCCAATCAGTCAATCAGTCAGTCAGTCAGTCACCAGAAAAAAATAGGAGACATTAGGCAACATCCCCGAGGACAAATCCAAGCAACAACACTACAACTCTTTGAAAAAGACAGGTTTTGAAGACTGTAGACAAGAGAGTGGAGTGGAGACACGTGCTACTCAAGCCCTATGTTCTACCCTAGTAGAACCCAACGGACAAATAATATTATAATAATTAGTAATAAGACTGACAGGAAAAAAGCAAGTATTCATGTCTGCTCATAACAGTTTAACATGAAATGAAGAGAAATCACGATATATAAGCACATGTTAGTTAGTGTTTAGTCACTCACTGACTGGCAATTTGATATGAAACGCCTCACACTTTGTTGCGTGATTCTATGCATCGAACCCATTTCCATCGCAGATGCACCACTTATAATAAAAACTCATCACCTGAATAGCAAGCAGTTCTGTGCTTATCATTTGATTATCTGAGATAGCCGTAGTTTGGCAGACTACCATTCAGAGTCGGTAATGATTAAAGGTGAGATGAAAATGCCGCCACCGTCCACATTCTCACCTCACTTTCAATCACCATCCAGTATAAATTCTGCGCTTCTTGGAGAGCCAACTCCTGCAGTTCTGATGAGATGTAATGATCTGTGAAGTCAACCCAGTGGAGCATAAAGATGAATACTTGCTAGTCATAACGGATGATCGTCACACCACATCGAGAAACGACATAATTCGGAGAATCTGGACCAATAGGTTGCAGCCCAGTAGCTGAATGATACGTAACGTACTCACCAGAAGACCTAATGGAACTGGCCCCGATCCCTTACGGAATCATGTTTTGTCACACCTAAGGAATATCAAACTGGAAATATACAGTAGTCCAGAGCCTATAGGCTTTCACGTTATTTTCTCTAATTCCCGTCAACTCACAATGTAAACCACTTTGGAATATCTTAGGAATATGTACAATGAAAATATCGCCATCACTTCGAACCACAAACACCGATTCATGACTTAAAAATTAAATAGAATCAACTTTTCACTTTAAAAAAAAACCGATTAGCAGACTTCAAATAATTAATTGCACCTTTTAGTAATCCAAACAGACACATAGACCTGATCAAACATAAAAATGGTTGAGAAAAAAAAACTAACATCATATGTGCAAATCAGACAATCAATTAATGAGTAGAAGAAGAAAAACCTAAACAAACCAATCCATAATGATCAGTAACGTAATAAATAAGTTTAAATATTGACTAACGAAGGATTATGACTATACACGAAATAGTATAATGTATGCAAATGCTGGTAAATTTCACCTATCTTTATCCATGAAAAATGATTATTTATCTAGGTTATTTATTTTATTATTATTATTATTATTATTTTGTCCCTTGGGTTCCTAATGGAACATAAGGCTTCAGTAGCACGTCTGCAGTGCGCTCTGGAAATGGGAAACGACGAGTTGGGTGTCCGAGTCGCGGTAGACATGGAGGAGATCATGTTAAGAAGAAATGAAAGCTTGTGGGCAGTGGTGGAGCCAGGTTTTGAAGACTGTAGAGAAGAGAGTGGAATGGAGACACGCGCAACTGAAGCCCTATGTTCTAGTACGAACCCAAGGTACAAATAATACTAACAACTAACTGGGCATAACACTTAACTTTAGACAAAACCATCAAGGGTTCAAACGTCGCTTCACCCTTCGAGGTTCAAGTAACCAAGTGGGAAATTAACCCTAACATAAGAGGTTTGGCTCATTACCTAGTGCCCACATGGTTGCTGAGCTTCGTAATATATTTTTACTGGGATATACATAAACATTCTCAGCTTACCCCGACAATAAGAATAATAAATGGATAATGCAAGGAAGGAAAACATAATTTAACTACGAAAAATAGGACTGAAACATCCCACTTCATCGAAATGATAAAGTTCAGCTATACCGAGGTAGAGTTTCTAAAGTTTCTAACACGCATAGCCTGCTTGGAGTATTTTATAAACACTTAAAAGCGTCAAACTAGGTGGTGACCAGGATGAGTAAGAAACATCGCTTTAATCTTTGGAACAAAAAGTCTGAGAACAAAACAAAAAAAACAGTAAAATCTGTTTTTATTACTTGTTAATTGTGAATAACCTCGCCTGGCTAACTAGTTCACTAGTTACTAGCCAGTCCTAAGCCCCATAAAGAGGGAAGGTTGGGCATACGGCTAGCAACCCTACTCCGCAAAACCAATACAATCCCTGAACAAATTTCAAAGCATAAGCAAAATATTAAAAATAAAGACAAAATTATTCCTCGCTCGAATGGGAGAGGCGAAAGGACGCCGTTTGGTGAAAGCCTTCGGAAGTCAACTGGCCGATGTATCTTCTCTCGATGAAAGCGAAAGTAAACGTGGGAACATGGAATGTCCGCACTATGTTTGAACCTAGCAGGGCAGCCCAGATTGCAAAAGAGATGAGAAGGTATCACACTGAAGTGCTAGGAATTTGCGAAAGCAGATGGAATGGGAGTGG